ACTTTGTCCCAGCCCTGCAGGGTAGTGCAGGAGGCAACCAGTCGATGTGGCTCTATCACATCGATGTTTCTCTGTGTCCCTCTCTCTTCCTCCCTCTCAGTCTATCTAATGATAAGTGGAAAAATATCCTCTGGTGAGGAATAAAAGGAGGGAGGGAGGGAGGGAGGGAGGGAAGGAAGGAAGGAAGGAAGGAAGGAAGGAAGGAAGGAAGGAAGGAAGGAAGGAAGGAAGGAAGGAAGGAAGGGGAGAGAAAGAAGAAAGAAAGAAAGAGAGAGACAGAGAGAGAAAAGAGAAAAGAAAAGAAAAGAAAAGAAAAGAAAAGAAAAGAAAAGAAAAGAAAAGAAAAGAAAGAAAAAGGTCTTGCGCTAACAAATACAAATCAAATGTTTGAGAGGAGAATGAGAAAAAGATAATATCCTACTTATTTTTAAAACTAAAGGTATGATTACAAGGCTGGTGAAAATAAACCTAAGAAACACACAGCTTGTATTTATTGCTTTTTATATTTAATAAATTAATGGGCATTTTATCCATTTAAACAATTTCTCAATGTGCCCATAGGAAGAGACACAGTGGGCCAGCAATGTTATTCACTTGAACAAAATGCGTCAGCAGTTTGCACGTTTAAAATGGTTGTGAACAATGACTTCAAGTCAAAATTCTATTAGTAGAGGTCACTTGATTTATGAACACCAGGATAAATAAATGAGCTTTTAGTAAACACTAACTATGGGCCAGGCCCAGGGCTGACGTGTTCACGTATATCATCTCCATTTATTTTCTTAAAAAGTGTGCTGCAATGTGTGGTTGTCAGCTTGATTTATTTGAGAGTTCTCTTTCTCAGAATCCCCTTCTCTCTATTGTTCCAAGTTAGAGTTGAGCAAAAAACCTCATGGGAGGTTGTCAGATATCATAAGAGAGATGCAGAGGTCTCAGCTCATCCTCACTGGCCTCTGTGCTGAGTCCAAGAATCATTCTGACTGCTGACCAGCTGTGGTCCCAGGATCATCACATGATGCTTGGCTACGGACTAACACAGCCCATATTTTGGATGAGTAAACATTTTCCCTTCTTGCACCACCTCACTGAAGAATCAAATTCCCCAGTTGGTAGAAGTCAGGGATCCAGTCAGTTTGACTTGGACAAGCACCTGGATAGTTCCACCAAGGCTACTACTGCACATTAGGAAGTAGGTAACTTCTCAAAGAGGAAATCAAGGCTTGGGAAGGGAGAGTAGAAACTAAATGACCAAAAACAACAAGGGTATGAGGTGTCCACTCTGTGCATTTACCCAAGATGTTCTATCACTGACCAGCTAGTATAGTAGATAACATTTACTCAGCACCCTCTCTGTGCCAGTTACTCAGCCATTTATATGTACTATCTTATTTAATCCTCATAACAGTCCTAGGAGGGAGATACTTTTCTTTATTTTACAATGAAGAAAACAGATAAGGTTGACATTTTGCCAGCTTTTGGCCTGTAAAATATAACTGGCCAGAGCTGGAGTAGGTTAAAAGTGTTAACTCTAACTTCAGAACTACTAGATTTTCAACCCCAATATTACCAAAAATTTTTTCTCTTTTTTTTTAAATTTTTTCCCTTTATTGATTTTAGAGAGAGAGGAAGTGAGAGGGAGAAAGAGATAGAAACATCAATGAGCGAGAATATTGATTGGCTGCCTCCTGCATGCCCCCTACTGGGGATCGGGCCCACAACCTGGGCATGTGTCCTGACCAGGAATTGAACTGGCGACCTCTTGGTGCATGGGTCGACGTTCAACCACTGACCCACACTGGCCGGATGCTAGAAATTTTCCTAATCCATTGTACAGTGATTTCAGTACTGCTAATTTATATTGTAATGACTAACTATATCATATAAATCTCACCCTCTTCATTCTATAGGCACAATGCATGAAGTATTCTATCTTTTATTATTCAACTTATTAAGATCATTACATTTTATAAACCTTTTTTCTTAAGCTATAATTATCATTTATAAATCCTATTATTCTACTTAGCAATCACTTCTAAGGAAGCTTTTACAATTCAGTTAGTCTAATACCTTTAAATATTCTCACACTGAGCTTATGTAATTTTTCAATGTTACAGAAGACTCACAAACAAACCTTCTCAAGAACTCAAATGACTTTTTAACAGCTTTATTGAAATATGATTCAAATGCCATCAATTCACCCATTTAAAGTGTACAACTTAGAGTTTATACAGATGGTCCCTGACTGTATGATAGTGCAAAAGCAATACATATTCAGTAGAAACCATACATTAAATTTTGAATTTTGATCTTTTCCCAGGCTAGCGAAATGTGGTACAAGACTCTCTTGTGATGCTGGGTAGTGGCAATGAGATAATTTTGCCCAACTGTAGGCTTATGTAAGTGTTCTGAGCACTTTTAAAGCACTAAACTATGATGCTTGATAAATTAGGTGTATTGGATGCATTGTTGATTTACAGTAATTTTCAGGTTATAAAGGATTTGTCAGGATGTAATCCCACTATAAATTGAGAAGCATCTGTAATTCAATGGCTTTAGTATATCAAAAACTTGTACAAATGTCATCACAATAAAGTTTAGAACACTTGTGTCACCCCATAAAGATTTTTATAAATCAAATATGTTAAATGTGTAGATAAGATTAATTTTATGTTTTCTTAATTAAAACTAAAGGTATGATTACAAGGCTGGTGTTCTAATTGTACTCTTTATTAACTTAGTAAGATTTTAACTAAAATCACAAATAACAAAACAGTTATCCAATTACTCATTCTAAATTGGAATCATGAGGTCCTTCTAACAGGTCAAATTATCTAAACATTATACATATGTAAATCTAGATTGTTCCTTAACAAAAAATGTTTTAATAGTGTCTATTATTTACTTCATCATTTCTATATAATTCCAAATCTTCCCAGAACTAAAGAAAAATTGTCATACAAATATTATCTGGTATTTTCTTTCTAGAACAAGCTTGGGAAAATATTTTTTCAGCTAGATGAAGTTGCCTATCAACAAGAGATTGAGGTGAGGGTTTGAGAGCTAGAATCCGAGACTCCCAGAACAACTTTTCTCAGAACCAGGAGTGACAAGCTAAGCCTACTTTTATAGACATTGCATGAAAAGATTTGGGTGTTGACACCTCAGTGGCAACTGACGGAGGAGGTGTAGGGTAACCTAGCAGAGAAAAGGGCCGAGCAGTACGGTGGCAGGCAGAGGCTGGAGATAAACTTGTACAAGAGAGACTTTATACAGTGAAAGTAGCTGAGGAATTTTAGGACAGGAATGTCTAATAACCTGAGCTGTAGTTACCCTCTGCTTCTCCCAGCCTTCAGCACAATCTGATACTCTTATATTATACTGAAGTAGGGCAACTAGGAAAGCCAAGAGTGGTGTAGGGAACCAGAGGGCGCTATAGATGCAGAGAGCAGTCCGGGCAGATGCAGAAGCAGCCTGGAGGGTTTAGTAGCCAGGCTCTGGACTGCAGTGAGTGGCTTGGGCTTGGGCTTGGGCCATGTTACTTGGATATTAAAGGAAAAGGTAATCCCAGAAGGACAGAAGGACAGGGAAGCCCCAGGCAGCAGAGGCTTCCTCGAAGGAGGGTGTAACCACATGCTTCTAAAGGAAAACTCTACTCAGGAAATGAGATGATGGGTTATTTCCTATTATTGTTCCTAAGAAGACCTAGTCATGGAGAATCTCATTTGTGCTGATTTACACAGTTCTACACAGTTACATTCAGCTACTCAGCACCTCAGCAGCCAAAGAAGGCTTCCCAGAGTCTCTTTTTCAACCAGTGCTAATGAAAGAAGGTGTCAGCTTTTCATACCATCAGGGAGGAAATGAATCATTTGACTGCCAATGCACCAAGTGCTCTTGAATTGTCTCAGCAACACCACAAATTTTGAAATTTTGGTCTTTCTAAGTATACAGGATGTTTTGCTGTTTTTTTCAGCAGGGTTGTTTATCTTCACAACCCTCTGATTTGACTTTGTTTGACTTAAAAATAGTGCTTTATGGGGGACTATGCATATGTCCCTAAACAATTGGTCTGGTTGGTGAAGTTAGTTAAATCACAAGCATATAGAGAAAAGGAAGCAGTTAAACTGGCCAGTGCCATCATGAGAGCTCGAAAATTGAGCCTTATTTCCCATTTTTAATAATAACTAATTAGCCCTTTGTATCTTAATCAGTTCACTTGTTTTTGACACTCTGAGTCCCAAGGGCACATACACAGAGTTTTGAGAATTGGCATTTCTAAACAGCCTTTCTTTTTCCACTTGCCCAGTATATAATTAGTAAAGGGATGTGAAAGAGAGAGGGTGTGTCCTGCTTCATGCCAGTGTGCCCTGGCTGCTGGGAGCATTTTCATTCAAACCACCTGGCCTGGCCTGGCTGTCCCCGGCAGGTGTCTCTACCCAGAAAGGCCCCCACACCCCCTCAGAGAAATCAGCAAACTCTTTGCTGGGCAGGTGTCCCTACCCAGAAAGGCCCCCACACCCCCTCGGAGAAATCAGCAAACTCTTTGCTGGGCAGGTGTCTCTGCCCAGAAAGGCCCCCACACCCCCTCGGAGAAATCAGCAAACTCTTTGCTGGGCAGGTGTCTCTGCTCAGAAAGGCCCCCTTACCCCCTTGGAGAAATCAGCAAACTCTTTGGTGAAAAAAATATGACTGGCAGCTGGAACTCTTCCACTTAACCTCAGTAAACTGTTAAATTTACCATAACTTGAACTTGGACATTTTGTAGCTTGCTCTGTGTGTGCATGTGTGTGTGTGTGTGTGTTGGGGGGTGGGGGTGCCCATTACTGACAGACTGAGCAGCCCAATGCATATGTGTGTAGCTTCACAACTGCTTTGGAGACAGAGAATGTGGGTGGGCAGTTACATGAAAGAAAACATATTTTTCTGCTTGCAAGAGAAGAAAGGTTCACACAAGACTGAGCAGAGCTATAGTAATCAGTTTGCTTCTTTTCTTTGTCAAGGAGCACAGCATCCTCTGCACTGCGCCTCCTCATCCGGGAAAGCCTTTCCCTTCGGGGTGGAGAACTCCCTCTGGGCCCCCGGGACAGACCATGTCAGCTGCACAGTAAAAAACAAGAATGTGGCATTCCCTGCAAAGAAAGAAAATGCATTCTGATATTGCATCTCAACTCTCCTGTAAAATATGCCCAATTTGTTCAAAACAATGGTAAGCTTTCTACTTGAAAACATTTCAATTTTTTCCCCTAGCTTTACTGGATTGTGAAGTGCATGTGAAACCACGTAAATATGGTGTTAGGGGTTAAATCTTGTGTGCCCTCAAAATTCACATGTTGACATCCTAACCCCCCATTTCTCAGAATGTGACTTTATTTGGACATAGGGTCTTTACAGAGGTAATCAAGTTCAAGTCCGCTTATTAAGGTAGGCCCTAACTCAATCTGCCTGCTGTCCTTAGGAAGGGGGAAATTTGGACCCAGAGTTCACATACCGAGATGGCGATGTGACTGAAGATCACCATCTACAAGCCAGGAAGAGAAGCCTGGGACAGACCTTCCCCTCAAAACCCTCAGAAGGAACCAGCCCTGCCAACACTTAGATTTGAGACTTCTAGCCTCAAGAACTGTGAGACAATAAACTTCTAAATTACCTGGTTTGTGGTACTTTGTTACAGCGATGCTAACAGACTAATACATGTGGCCAAACAATAAGCTTTCCTCCGCCCCAGACAGGACAGGCCATAATTTGGGTTTCTTCTACACAAACGGAAATGCCCGCCGTGCCCAAGCAGGTAATCCACAGCAGTGAATCTGGCTAGATGGACTAGTTGGGGTTGTCAGAGGGGAGTGGGGCGAACTGGAAAGCAGGCGGTACCCAGCTCCTGCCAGCTGTTACCGTGCAGCAGTGTAGGCCTAGCGCTGACAATCTGACTTTTTGGAGAGAAACCCAAAACGCAGATTTTTTTTAAATGTAGAAATCTCCCCATTTTTAAATATTGATAACTAATTAAGATTTAAATATTGTCCTGACCAACACCACATGGCCAAGTAAGATTTGTGTGAGGACAAATTCGGCCCACAGTCTAATGACATTTTGAGAGATTATGCGGGATGCTCACAGAATATGAGAGGTGGAATCCAGGGACTGCATTTTAGCCACGAAGTTCATTTCCAAGCCTCCGTGCACATAGGTGGGGCTGTGTAACTCGTTCTGGTCAATGGAAGGTGATCACTGAAACTGAAGTATGTCATTGCTATGCTGAGGTTGGCAAATGTCTGAGCTGCCTTCCTTTTATTGTTATCCCCTTCCAGAACCTTGGAGGTACATACTCATGTTGCCAATTTAAGAGGTCAGATTTAATCTGACAAGGAAGAGGAGTGTAAAGAAAATTACAAACTATACATGTATGGGTTACCTCTCCCTAACCCTGACACTAAAAGAAAGGGAAAGGATACAGGGAGAAAGTTGCCTTTTATTAAGACAGAGTTTCAATCTCCTCTCCTCAATCTTGAGGAACAGGAAAAAAATGAGTTCAGGTCAAATTTCCAGCTCCATCTGTGCATGGGCACACAGTAAGGAGTGGGTGGGAGGTAGCAGTTATCCCTTGCCCAAGAACAGCTAGTAAGAAGTTGCTACCATTTCTCCATTCATTCCCACAAGAGGTCCACTCAGAAGCACAGAGCACATATGTTGATGGCTAAGGTGTGCCCTTGCCTGTTTGCCCTTTCCTTCTTCCCACTAGAGATGGTACGGACATCGGCTAAGTAAAATTTGCACTTCTGTTTTTACTCCAAAATTGTATCATCTGCATAATCCTGGTAAAATTCGGATTGAATAATCTTATCAGACATAGTTTACTTCTAACACTTAGTTGGTATAGAACTTAATGAAGGGGTAACATTATTAGAAATGTAACATTTTCCTGGATACTAGAGAATGCCACCGAAAGGCTGGGCCCCTTCTTTGGATCTTGCACCTTGACCTTTGGGCTCTTTCTTTCTTTCTTTCTTTCTTTCTCTCTTTCTTTCTTTCTTTCTTTCTTTCTTTCTTTTTTTTATGTTTTCACTGATTTTTTTAGAGAGAGCGGAAGGGAGACAGAGATAGAAACATCGATGTGAGAGAGAAACATCCATCCATTGCATTACTTGTTTATTTGACTTGTTAAGCTGACTTCCCAGTACTTTCAACATTTTTGTACTTCTGTAAGTCTTTGCATGCAGTAAATTTCATATTGTAAATTCCTTGAGGGCAAGACCATATATTCTATTTATTGATTTATCCCAAGTATCTACTATACAACGTAGCCTTTTATTTGAGCACAGCTATATTATTTTTAATTAATTACATGTAAATATAATGATTTATCAGTTACTTTCCACAGTTCTACATGTCAAAAATAAAGCTTTTGTTAGGCAACACACAGCTTCCTTTAGTTAAGGGCTGGCACATAGAAACGAGGAAACTGGTTCTGCCTTTTGTGTCAATATCTGTTGATTGATTTTGAATTTTTTATTGTAACATTTGACAAACCCAACAGCATTAGGGAATTATATTGTTCAGACCTTTAACACTGTGAATACTTATCTCATATATTTACACTTGAGAACTTAGTCTATTTTAAAGTCAAATAAACAAGTAATGCAGTTATTACCTAACAGGATGTTATAGAAACTGAAGGTGAGTACATATTGTTGTAGATTTTCCTCACTGCACTGGAAATTTCCCTTTGTCATTTAAACATTAACTGGAATAGACTGAATTTTACATAAATGTAAACATGTTAATCTTCCTCTCTGATGCAACTCAAGAACAGTGTGTCCTGTAGGTCACTGCACTTTCGCAGTAATTCTGAGTAAGTTCCCTGGTCAAAAACTGAACAGAGTAACATTTGTTCAGAGACACATCACTGATCTGACCTGTCTCATGTTTTTGCTCTTCTTTGTACTTTTGAGTTTCTAAATCATCCCATTAGGGGTTGTTTTCTAATGGGCATTTGTCAGCAGTTTAGGCAGAGTCTCTTGAGGCATTTAGCAAAATGTCCTGGAGTGTTCTGGGAGCATTGGGAGAGATCTGAAGGCAGGGAGGTAATAGGGAAGCTAATGGATAGGGAGGGAGCAGAGTGCCTGATCTAGTATCGGATAAGAGTACACCTTCAGGGGTTTGCAATGGAGATGGTGGAAGGTCATACAGAGCCAGGGAAGTCAGTGAAAAAACACACTAAGCGAAAGAGACAGATCAAGGCTCATTCCCCGGGAAATGGCTGTTTGCAAGAATGACACAAAGCTGGCTGGCAGGTGTTCAGGTGAGTTTCCCCTTTGGGGAAGGGTGAAAGGGAAATACGAGCCTTACAATCCTGGGCATCAAGGGGCCAAGCAGTCTTCCTGTCATCTCCCCAGAAGTAATTAAGGGGCCTGACAACATGGCTGACAGCCAGGAACAGCACAGCCAAAGTGCTCAGGGCTTCAAAACTCCATTGAGGAGCAACTGGAGCAGCTTTTCAAATTCTTTATAAGCAGGGGAAAACCGAATGCCTAATCACCCTCATTTACTAAAAAGGGACGAAGCAATTGGCAAATGACTGCACTTAGAGCGAACAGCTAGGATGCAGTGAGAAGCAGGAAAGGGAACTGGTATTTTTCATATAAGTATTTACCTAAGTAAAAGGGAACAGCATGCTTTCCCACTCAGTAAGACTTTAACACAAATTCATTAAAATTAGAAAACATTATTTTAAAACAGGGTTATTTAAAAATACTATACATGAATGCAGCCATATGAAATTCCTAGGCACCATTAGATGCTTCACTTACTGTAACTGTCCTAAATAAGTGCTTACTTTAAATCCAGTTTAATTACCAGGTTTGGGTAAGATACACTTAAAAAAAAAAATGACTCCCAAATTCTTGATTAGGTTTATTCACCAAATTTCATTCAAGTTCCTGCTATTTTTTCATTTGAACTTACCTCCAGCAAAGGAGATTTGATTACTCTCAGCTTTAAAAAAAAATCATTATTAAAATGTACTTCACATATAAATTTCAGGTGTTTGACATGTTAATTTGATATATTTCTATATTATAATATGATTGCCATTGTAGCAATAATTAATACCTCTATTACAGTACATAATCATCGTTTTTTATAGTGGTTGGAATAATTAAGTTCTGGTCTCTTAGCAAGTTTGATTATTATAATATAATATTGTTGTCTATTTTCACTATACTATGCATTAGATCTTTAGGGCTTTTTTATTTGTTGTAAATTTGTACCCTTAAACAACACCTGTCCTATTCCCACACCCCCAATGCCTGGTAACCCCCACTCTTTGTTTTTATGATTTTGGCTTTTTGAGATTCCACATATAAGTGATACAGTACTTGTCTTTTTCTGTCTGATTTATGTCATTTAGCATAATATGCTCAATGTGGATCCATGCTGTCACAAATGGCAGAATGTCTCATGGCTGAATAATTTTGCATTGTATATGTATACCGCACCTTCTCTATCCATTAATCTGCTGAGGGCACTTAGGTTTCTTCCATATCTTGGCTGTTGTAAATAGTGCTGCAATAAACATGGGAGTGTAGATAATCACTTGATATCATATTTTCATTTCCTTTGGATATATACCTAGAGGTGGGATTGCTAGATCATATGTTAGGTCTATTTTTAATTTTTTGAGGAACCTCCATATTATTTTCCATTGTGGCTGAACCCAACTACTTTCTTTTTTCAAGTCACCAAAGGAAGATCTGTTTGCCATGTGGTATGTGCTTCTTATCTCATGAAAAAAAAAAAACATATACACATCCTTTCTTCCTGTCAAAGTGGAAGTAATGTTTCTTCCCCTACATAAATTCAACCCCTCTTCTGTATGTTTCATCCCCTTCTACTTGCTTAAATTTTAAGTAATTATGGTAGAGCCTTAGGATGGAAAACTCCATAAGTGATAAATATTCATTTGTAGAAAACTATAGATAAAGGGAATGTTCACAATACATTCTAAATTAAAAAAAAAAAAAAAAAAAAAAAAAAGGCTTTACATGAATATTTATTTGAATACCATTTAAAATTGATAAATAGCCCTGGCCGGTTTGGCTCAGCGGTTAGAGCGTCGGCCTGCGGTCCTGAGAGACCCGGGTTCGGTTCCCCCTAAGGGCATGTACCTCGGTTGCAGTTTGTCCCCGGCCCTGGCCGGTTGTGCGGGTGGCAGCCACTCGATGTGTTCCTTTCACATCGATGTTTCTCTCTCTCTCACTGTTCCTCTCTCTCCCTCCCACTCTACCTGACCAAAAAAAAGATGGAAAAATGTCCTCGGGTGAGGATTTAAAATTGATAAATAGATAAATGACAGATAGAGAGACAGACAGAAAAAGATTAAGAAACTGTGTACAGCCTGGCCAGTGTGGCTCAGTGGTTGAGCATCGACCCATGCAACAAGAGGTTGCCGGTTCAATTCCCAGTCATGGCACATGCCCAAGTTGTGGGCCTGATCCTCAGTGGGGGGCTTGCAGGAGGCAGTCAATCGATGTTCTCTCTCGATGTTTCAATCTCTCTCTCCCTCTCCTTTCCTCTTCCTCTAAAATCAATAAAGGAAAAAAAAACAGAAACTGTATACAGTTGATCCTTAAACAACATGGGTTT